TTTTTTCTGTGAACATTTTTTTAAAATAAGGAGGCTAACGAGGGGGGGGGGGAATACCATGGAAGGAATCCCCACCTAGTAGCCGCACACTGATTACTCGTTTCTCCATTACGGTCTTAGTGGTAGAGATCTCTACAACTAGCCTCTAAGGGTGAAATGCGTAACAGGTGAGCAGCTGCTGGGCAGGGATTTATTGATTAAAGTATACAAGCGGTGAATGGTGGTGTTCAGCTTTTCTTTGTACTAAATTGCTGTTTTCTAGCGTGGACGGCTCCGGGTTGGCACACACGTACACCCAAAGATCACTGTTGGATGGAGCAGTGAAGCTTTTTGAGGGGACATTTTTTGACACAGAAAAAGGTCTAGGTAGGTGAAAGAAGCTTCCGTAAAACTGGCCATTCACTGGTTGAATTTCAGTTGACTAATTGTCGGCTGAATGGTGACTGCAGTCAATCGTTTTTTACATGCAGGCTGAATGAGAAAAAATGGCCAGCTTTACCCTGGGGGCCCATTGTGTCTTTAAAAACTACCAAAAACCTCTTTCACTTCCCTTCCCCATTGACACCAATGCATCTTCCAAAATTTTGGGTAAAATTAAAGTTTTGCTTATTTCTAACTGGGATACCTGACATCAGAGAGTTTTTCAATCGGGGATAGAGGCCAAAACGTGCGTGTTTCGTTATGTCATCCAGCAATGATGGGAAGATCAGTATACTTAAAGTGACACTAAACTCAGGAGTTAAATCTTAAAAATGCATTCAAGTACCTTAACTATTAACAACAATGTATCTTATTTGTGTATCACTCGGCTGTAGATCCTCCAATCATCTCGGAATTGGTGGGTGCTGACACTGTCCTTCCTTCTGGAGGGGGGCTACTTTTGTTCCACATGGTCCCTGTGTGTGTTGTAAAATAGTCACCGCTCTAAGCTTGCTCCCGGGATGGACTACAATCTCATGTTTCGTTCACTAATTTGTATTGAGATTAAAATCTCAATACAATAATCCTGTGTACAGTTCCTGGTTTGGCAGCCTGGAGCACAATCTCAATACAAATTAGTGAACGAAACATGAGATTGTAGTCCATCCCGGGAGCAAGCTTAGAGCGGTGACTATTTTACAACACACACAGGGACCATGTGGAACAAAAGTAGCCCCCCTCCAGAAGGAAGGACAGTGTCAGCACCAATTCAGAGATGATTTGAGGAGCTACAGTCGAGTGATACACAAATAAGATTCATTTTTGTTAATAGTTAAGGCACTTGAATGTATTTTTAAGATTTAAATCCTGAGTTTAGTTTCACTTTAAATGCAGTTCTGTAAGGGCAGGCAGGGTTTTACCTCAACAATCTAAAATGTACTCTACTGAAGGTGTGACAGGTGCTCCTTAATGATTCAGTAACCGTAATACTACATATATAGTTGTGGCTTTTCCTTAACCATCTGATGACCAGTGGGGCTACCAGGAACCAAACTGGGCTGCGGGGAAGGAGGCTGCGGAGCGTGCACTGTCATGGTGTCCAGATTCTGCCCGTTCCAGCAGAAAATTCTGTATCCTTTTATAAAGTGTTTTCGGTATGGGGACTGATTGTAATGCTACAAACATCTTGTAATAAACTCTTAAATAATCTTCAAGATGTTAATGGAAACCCCAAAAGTAATTTTATTTTATTAATCTGCAGCTTTTATTCAAATAATCCCTGGTGTTCCTGCCGTGAAGGTGCTTCAGTTACTTGTTATTACCTGTTATGGGGTGACATCTCCCACTTCTGCTCCTGTGTTGTCATGCTGTCATATGCTCCCCATTTACTGTGCCAACACAACTGGACATGGTTCACTGTTGTAACTATTAGGCCCCGTTCACACTGAGCGATTTATCGTGCGGTAATTCCCGCGATATCGCGGCTATTTACCGCGCGATATCGCTCTCCAATGCATCTCAATGGGGCTCTGTCCGTCGCTGTCGCGGGTCGTGCGTCGCTACAGCAGGACCCTTTTTGGAGCGGATTTTGCCACGATTCTAGCATGCTCAATGCGACAATGTGAATGGGGCCTTAGGCCTCATTCACACAGCTAAGAGCCGGCCCGTACAGATCAGTGTGTATGAGTATGGAAAAGCGCACCCGCGCGGATTTGCAGCTCGGGTGAGTGTACGGCCGCGTACTCCCATAGAGAAGAACAGGCTGCTGCTTACAATCATACGCAGCACCTGCCCTTCCCGGGAGCGGCCCGATACGGCCGTGCACGCCGCACGGATCTGTACGGGCTGGCTCTTAGCAGTGTGAATGAGGCCTTAGGAAGCCAGTACAGAGCAATGATATGTAACTGGAGTGCATGTGGACCGGAAGTGGCTGGAGGAGATCAGCAGCAATGAGATGGGAAAAAGAAGGGGAAAAAAAGTGAAAAAAAGGTTTTATAGAAATAAATTTACATCTACTTTAACAAGATAAGCTGCAAACAAACATTTTTATTTTTATCAGTGCGTTAACTTGTCCATATAAACGGCAGCTGGGGCAGTTACCTTTGCATGATATTTAAAATCTCCTATACGGGGTTTCAGACATTGCTCAGTTAATGCCTGCTTAGCTCCTGTCTGCTCTCTGCACCATACGTCCATCACTACAGTGGAAGGGATTGGAAGCACTAAGACCAGACTTCATCCCATTCAGGTAAGTCAACATTTTTTTTAAGCAGACCTGTCACAATACATTGGGGTCTAATGATAAGAATTGGTGGGGTCCTTCACCCGGCTAATATCTGTGATCATTCATTTTGTGTTAATAATAGTAAAATCCAACATTCTTAATGTATGTTGGATTTTACTATTATTAACACAAAATGAATGTCAAATGTATTGTGATGTAAAATTTTATTATGGCCACTAGATGGAGCTGAGGAGCATAGGAAATTATTTTCTGCTATCCTCAGCTTCATCTTGTGGTTATAATGCAGTATTACATTACATTCGACCTGAAAATAAAATATTTTAGGAACGTCAGTTTTTGCCATTAATAAAAATAAAGGAACGATTGCAGTTATTTGCATGAAGGACCCCACCAACTGTTTATCTGCCCGGCAAATTGTTTATAAAAAGACCCCAATAAATCAATGCTTGTAAAGACTGTGTATGGGCTAAAACAATCATAATGACTGTTTATAACAACTGTATATCTGTATCCACCTGAAGGCTTATCTGCATGAAGCTGCCGTAGTAAGATATACTATATGGTCAAAAGTATGTGGACCCCTGACCATCACACCTACTTAATAGGTCCAAAACTATGTGGATTACCACCTTCAGATGGGTGGGGTCAGATGTTGTAATTAAGGGTACTGTTAATGCTACACCATACAAAGACATTGAAAGCAATTGTGCACTTCTAACGTATGGCAACTTTTTGGGGAAGGCATTTTTCTGTTCTAGAATGACAAGCCAGCTCCATAAAGACATGGTTTGACCAGTTGGCTGGGAAGGAACTGGAGTGCTCTGGACACAGTCCAGAACACAACCCTATTTAACATCTTTGGGATAAATTCGAAGGTTGATTGTGGGTCAGGTCTTCTCATCCAAAATCTGTATATGACCTGACAAATATGTTTTTAGTTTTCTGGGGACAACTTCCCACAAACACACTCCAAAATCCTGTGGAAGGCCTTCCCAGAACAGTGGAGGCTGTTTTAGGGGGCTGGGGGCCAACTCCATGTTAATGCCGATTGGTTTGCATTGGGATGTCCAACAAGCTTACATAGTTGTGATTGTTAAATGTTCACAGACTTTTTCCCAATGGGTTCCCATAGGGGATCTTTTTATCAATGTTGTCACCAAAGATTTTCCCAGTATTCTAATGGAATCCTATACAGGGTGACCGACGGGAGTCGGACGTTTTTAGAATAGGTAGTACACAGTGCTTACGACAGCTTTGTTTGAAGTGGTGAGTCTTGGTTCTCACTAATTCACGACTCAACCCTAACTCACTTGCATGTCTTCGAGCAGACCGTCTCGGGCTCCTAACCAGTGCCTCTCCCACCCATGCAATGTTTTCCGGCGTCCTTGCAGTGCCGGCGGGACCTGGTAGTTTCTTGTTCATAATGTTTCCGGTTGTTCTGAAATGTTCAACAAACCTGAGGACAGTGTTGCGACTGGGAACGGCTCTGTGTCAACCAACATTGAACATTGATTTCAAAATTGAATTCTCGTCAAAAAAGCCGCTGCATTGCTGTGATAGACTCACCACTTCGGACAAAGCTGTCGTGAGCGAACAATGTTGTAATGTCCACTGCTTCATTGTGACTGAATTGGCATTCCAGTGGGGGGGAAGACACTTAGCTCGTCCCCCTCCCATCACCACTTACTGTTTTCTACCTGTTCTAAAAACGTCCGGATCCCGTCAAAAAAGGTCCGGCCCCGTATAAAAAGGTGGCTGTATTTTGGGTGAAAGTTGTGGAATGTTGGGTGAAAACATTGATAAATGGACCCCATGGTGTATAAATGTTTATCCATGGCACTGCCTGTGCTCACTGGTGGTACTGAAGGCTCCTGGTGTCTGAAGGCCAGGGCCGGATTTCCCACAAGGGGGGAAGCAGGGGTGGGGAATTCCTATCTCACAACGCCCGGGATATGCAGTTCCTGGCGCCGGGCACCTAGTTCATCTCTACATTTAGCCCTGCCGCCGATGTTTTGTACAAGTGATCTCGACGATGTTGCCGAGATCACTTGTATGCAGCCTGTATACAGGGGGGTGCATTGAGAAACCTGGCACATGGGGCAGCAGAGAGGGTAAATCCGGCCCTGCTGAAGGCTCATCATTGGCTCTGAACAAACAAATGATAAAACAATAACATTGTTTTAAGGATTTGAATGCAAAGCACTAATGTTGCTGAAGTATTAACTTGTGGAACTGGATCTAAAGTAAGACTCCGGGTTCTTTGGCTAAAACTCACCATCTATTTGTGTACTTGCAGGAGAGAATAGCGAAGAGTCACGGATCCCAGTGCGGATTCTGCACGCCAGGAATTGTCATGTCGCTGTACGCCTTACTGCGCAATACACCCCAGCCCAGCATGGAGGAAATAGAAGATGCTTTCCAAGGTAGGATTAAACTCCCAAATCTTCTATCATGATGATAGCTATGTGTTTAGTCTGCAAATATGATTACTGAGAACATGATAAACCTTAGCTAACTCTTTTAAGGTGGACCTCATGCTTAAGGTGTAAGCATAAAGTTATTTTCACAGTCTTTTAAGAATGGATAAGTAAAGAGTATTAATACTACTGAAATACCTTCCCCGGAGGAAATGCTGCTCCAAGCACTCTTCAGGACATGCCATGAATACAAAGTCTTAAGCTCCTGCTCATGTGATTTTTTTTGTTGAAATGGTAGATCAGCCAATATAACTTGGTACTTCCCCTTAGAGGGATATCACATAACCAGGTGTAGGTAAGTATTTTAGACTTCACTACAGCACACATTACAAACTGGAAGTCTTCACAGCAAAAAAATAACTGGACAATATTATGTTGCACATGGCAGGTCTGTAAGTGAATGCCACACACTACTTTGTTGCCCATGTATTATCATAATTGCCCATTTGTAGCTCGCATATAGTTGAAATTGCCCATTTGCTGCCCCAAAATGGTTAGGATTGTCCATTTGTTGCCCAGTTATTACCATGGCTGCTCATTTGTTGGCCATGTAGTGTTATGATTGCCCATTTGTTGGCTATTTATTGCCACAGCTATCCATTTGTTGGTTTTTAGCATCATTATTTGCCCATTTGTTGGCTATGTACTGTTTCAATTGCCTGTTTGTTAGCCATGTGTTCTCACAATAGCTGCATGTTGCCATGGCTACTTATCTGTTGCCCATTTTTTTTCACAATTGCTCATTTGTTTGCTCCTTGACTGTCCATTTGTTTCCCATGTAATGTCAGGATTTGCCCATTTTTTTGCCCACATATTAACATGACTGCCCATTTGTTGCCAATCTATTGTCACAATGGCTCATTTGTTGGCCACATATGTCATGTCATGATTTCCACTTTGTGGTTATATATGGTCATTAATTCTAGCATATCACCCATGTGTTGCCCCACCAAATTTTACAATTGCTGGTTCACTACCAAATATTGCCAAGATTGCTGTTGTGTCACCTGCGTATTATCACATCTGCCTGTAAATTACCACAGTTCAAAGCTATGGTGCTGTTTGTGACCAGCACCAGTCAGCACTGTTTGTTTTGAGAAACATATTACTACAATAGGACCCCCTCTCCCACCTGTGTAAAGTCCTGTTACTTTCAACCATGACCATAAAGTTTATTTCAGCTGTGCCCCCTCTCCTCCAGTGGCATTTTTCCCCTTCCAACTGCAGAATCTCCAGCTCATGATGGTGAAAAAGTTCCCAGCTATCTGAAACGCACCTGTAGTAGGCTAAGTCTGAAGTGGATCTTAGGCTGAGGGTACAGCTGGTAGGCAGGTGGAGCCAATGCATCCATAAGGAGAGTTCTTGAGTACAAAAAACCTGCAGCAGAAACCAAGTCCTTCCAGTGGCAGAATGGCTAGGTCTGTGCACGTTCGCACCAGAGACCTAGGTTTAGAGACGTTAAACTAGAGACCTTAAACTAGAGGGTCTCTAGTTAAATTTAGTGATGGGAATTTACTAAAACCGGAGCAGACAGAGTCTGGAGCAGCTGTGCACAGTAACCAATCAGCTTCTATCTTCAGCTTGTTCAGTTAAAGTGACATTAAGGATAAAAAATGTTTCCCTCCCCCCCATGTTAATGTCAGCACTTACCTTAAATGATGTCTCTCAATCCGATCTTCCTCTTCTTTCCCCATGTTTTCATTTGTCCCTCCAGCGGTGCGGCGGCTCTCCGATCCAGCGGTGACTCCTCTCTGCTTACAGGCACTTCTGATCCAGCGGTGTCTCCCGGCCAAGAATCCGAACTGCGCATGCGCCCGCCCCAAGATCCTTTGTGGCCGCATGAACAGTTCTGGACTCTCGCCGCCGGAGCGCGCAGCGATAATGAGGTCAGTCTATACCGCTGTTTAAGCGTAAAAAAAACAAAAACTTTTTGCCTATATCTATTGCTTGTCAGCAGTAGATATAGGCAAAAAAGCGGGAGGCTTTAGAACCCATTTAAGCTTCAAAAAGCTACATTGGAAGCGGGTTGGTTGCCATGAACTGCTGCTCCAGAGTTTGTATGATCCAGTGTTAGTAAATTCACCGCAATGAGTCAAAGAATGGCCTTTTAGAAAAAGTCAACACAATTTAAATAAAATCTTATGTTTACATGATTCAAGTAAAAAAAGTTTTCCAAATGCTTATAAAATAATTGGTATACATTAAATAATTAGTAACTAATAATTATACAAATATAACCAATTATAACACAAGTAAAGTATGTTAAAACTCATTGGCACAAATTGAAGGAGCATTTAAAAAAAAATCAACTCATGACCACTGAGCCTTAAGCTGGCCATGCACTGTTCTATTTTTTAATTCAACCCACGGGCAAAATGGAAAAAATAGAAAAGATTTCTCTATCAAGGCTTACGAGCATTGATGGAGGAATCCTCGCTGTTTCTTTTGTACCGGCCGCTGTCAAAATACCTGAACAGAGCTGGCAGCTCATTGGCTCACCGCTCTGTTCGTTCGAAGATTTCCCATCCAGCTCCTTCAGCTGATCAAGGGATGCCGGCCAATAGGGTGCCGACAGCAGCAGCCAATGTGCGAATTTCAGCCAATTCCCGAAGAACCGGACGAAATTCACATGGTGTGTGGCCACTTTTACAAATTGGTTTGACTTTCTAAAATATTGCACCGCTGATTACAATTATTCCAAGCCCCCCTCTGACATTTCTTTAGGTTTTTATTGATGTTTCTGTTGGGGAAATTCACTCTCTCTATTTGTCATAATGACCATTGTTTAGCAGGACCATTCGGTCATTAGGACCAATAGAGGACCCACATTTTTAGCTGTAACCAGAACATAAATGGAAGGGGAACTCTTACAATGTTGGACTTTTTTCTACAGTAACCTTTTAACCATCCCCAACCTATCCAAAAAAAAAAAAGAGTTTTGGCTTAACATACACTTTAACTGATTGCCACCCAGAGTTTGGCAGGGATGTTAGATTATAAATTCGTTCCAGGTTATGAATGGGGGGAATGGTTTAGGTTTCTCCGTAAAGCTCTATATGAAGATCATTGCTGTATAAAGTAGAAAAAAAGAATATAATTGTATAAAACTCAGAATTAATAGCAAATTCGTGGACAGTGTTATATGCTTTATGTAGTACTTACCAGTGTATCTGCACTGACCACATGCAGTCTGATATATGTCTGATATCCTCCTTACTGTCAACCAAACAGGAAATCTCTGTCGATGTACTGGATATCGTCCTATTCTTCAGGGCTTCAAGACGTTTACCAAAGTGAGTTTTATCTTTGCTTAGGAGTGTTTCTATTCCCTAGATTAAGAGTCAAGATGACTACATATGTGAAATAAAGTGTGAGATACAAACTATAAGCTGTTGCAAAGCAGTGCATAAAAAAACACAACATAGGTTTACAGTTGTGTTGTGGAACTATTGAAATTATAACATGATAATGTACAGTATGAAACCTTAACGGTTTCCTATTACTAAAGGGTCATTCCACCCAGAACCATAGATTAGTCAGAGGGGATCCAGGGGAGCTAGGTCAGCCCCTTGGCTTCTTATATGTCTTGGATTCTCCAACAGTGAAATCTCTGGCCATAATTGCCAAATTAATTAATGTCCACTTGGGAGTTTTCGGGTATTCCTGTCCACTATTGTGTGCTACTCCTGTTACATTCTCCATATTATAAAATTAACATAAAATCCACTCATAATGTGCATAGTAGGAATGCAGATCTAGGAACTTGGCACAGTGGATGGTGGGAGACTCTCATAATGGACACAGAAGGTGTACAGACCCAGGAACTCACAAAAGGGATGGTGGGATCCCCTCCATAATGGGTACAACAAGTGTACAGAACTAGGAACTCAGCATAGGGATGGTGGGAGCACCTCATAATAGGCACAGAAGGTGTACAGACCCGGGAACTCAGCACAGGGATAGAGGGAGCCCCACATAATGGGTGCAGCAGTTGTGCAGACCCAAAAACTCAGCACAGAAATGGTGGGAACCCCTCATAATGGACACAGCAGGTGTACAAACCCCTGGACCTCAGTGCAGATATCTCATCAATAGAATCCCTGAGAAATAGAAGAGACTGTCAGGGGCTTATCTCTCTAGTGTATAAAAAAACAAAAAACTGAAATATGGGTTTTGGGTGGACTGTCTTTCAAACTTGATTAACCTAAAAATAATCTAAATATATATTGTTAATGCTATCTTGATGGGGGGGACGAACTACGACCCCAAGGTTTTTTAAGTGTGTTGCAGACACCGCATAGACATAAATTTGACAACAGCCAAGTCGTAGACGTGTCCCCAGCGTCAACTTCCATGCATAGGGCTTCGAGCTGGAGGCTTTGTAGCTGATATGGCAGTTTAAATATAATGGACATGTTAACACCAAATATATTTTCTCCTAGGACAGCTGTTGTGGCAAAAAGACGACCAATGGTTGTTGTATGGACATGAAGGAAGAAAAGGAGGTGAGATCTATATAAGGTCCCTTCATGGTCTTTGTTATGCTTATTTTAATATGTTTTCCAACAGGGACATAAATACAAATTACAGGGTCTCGTATCCAAATTTTACTGGCCCCATTGACTCCCACTTTCCTAATCTTCTCAACCGTTGACTTTGCTTGCGATGATTTTGATATGTGCAGGTTTGTGTCTGGTATTAGCATTTTCCAGTCTGTTAGAAAATCTCTGTGTTTAATTTTGCTGTAAAACAGAATTGGCTTGAGCAGTCATGGCTATAACTTCATAAACAGGATAACACTACTGATATTCAAAGCAAATGTATCATCACTGCTTAAAAAAATAATATATTCAACATTAGATAAACTATATAAAATTCCAAAGGCATATTATACAGTACATAGAATATACAGTATATGTTTTTGTTAAAGGAAAACTATGGGGTAAGTGTTTTTCCCCATAGTTCTTTTTAGGGTCATGGGAGGACATATACTAACCTCCTCCCGTGACACAAAGATCAGTATATCGCGGGTTATTGCTTGCGATATACTGACAGCGCCGCAGCCTCGACAATACTGTCGAGATCCACCCAGCTACATGAGTGACAGCTGGCTCTGCCTATCTATGACTGACAGTCACCGTGCTCTGCGGGGAGATGATCGGGAAAGTGAGCGGATCGGTGCATGTTTCTGCTCACTTCCCGATCGATAGAGCCGACCTGTGACAGCTTCTTTGTCACAGGTCGGCTTTAACTATGAGGATGAGTGAAAATCACTCACCTCACAGTTCCTCTTTAATCAATGAGCATTAGACTAATAACTGAAAATAAATAAACATTACACGGGCAAACATAGAAACCCTGTAATTCATTAAAAGCCACCATATTATCGAATCCAATAAATGATCTATCCAACATTATTCTAAAGAACTAAGAGGAAAAATGCAGTTACCAGTAGGGGACTGAGAATGGATGTATACAAATCTCAGAACCAAAGATCAGCAAAGACTAAAGTTTGTCATACCCAGTAGAAGACTGAAAATACTCAGTAGAAGACATGGAACTTTCAAAAGATGTTAATTGCCACATGGTGTCAATAAAAAAGCAAAGAGAAATACATATGTGATCTTCTAAAGTACATTTTGTTCTCTATGCAGACAAACACATCTTCAGCTTTGTTTGACCCTTTGGAATTCAGACCCTTGGACCCAACACAAGAGCCAATTTTCCCTCCAGAATTACTGGTAAGAGTTAGAGAGAGAGATTTATTTATTTAATGTATTTATTACAGGCATTTATACAGCGCCAACAATCTACACAACACTTTACATAGTAGCACATTCACATCAGTCCATGACCTCAAGGAGCTTACAATCTAAGGTCCCTATCTCAACACATACTGGGCCAATTTAGACAGGAGCCAATTAACCTTCCAGAATGTCTTTGGATTGTGGGAGGAAACCGGAGTACCTGGAGGAAATCCACACAAGTACAGGGAGAACAAGCAAACTCTTTTGGGATAGTGTCCTGACCGGGATTAGAACTGGGGACCCCCAGTGCCGCAAGAGATGATCAATTAAACATTTTAAGCACAGATGATTGGAATGCATGGCACAGCATGAACAATCATCAGTGTGAACAGAAACATGAATGCCAACGCTGGACACAGTAATAGCCAAAATAATATCAAATTGTTAACACAAAAAGTTCCCTTAACCACCTCCGGGTCGGCCGTAGTAAAAAAACGGCCGGCCCGAGCTCTCTAGATCTGAGCGGGCGTCTTTAGACGTCCGCTCAGACACGCCCCCCCGCACGCGCCGCTCGGCGCGCGCGAGCGGGAAATAACAGGTCATATGATGTGTTAACAATATGATATTAATAATTTCAAGATATCATTAAACAGAGGACAGACATGTCATTGATGATCATCCCTCCTGATGAAGCAGACCCTGATCTGTGAAACACGTTGAAAGTGATGTCTGGTTATGCGAAATGATCATATGAGATATGGGAACAGCCAATGAGCTGCTCGCTCTGTCCGGCGGCTGCTATCCGAATACAATGTAGACAGTGGGAGATTCCTCGATCACGCTCGTAAGTGTTAATGGGGGAATCTGTTCTATTTTCTTCGTTCAGCCGGCATTTTGAATGAAGAACATAGAAATGTGTATACCCAACTTTATGCTCTGTGCTGGCAGAGCTGAGTAACAGGTACACCCCCTCATGAACAAGTGTCCTCACACAGATTTGTATTATAAAGAAAGAGAGAAGGCGTGTCTGATCAGATCTGTTACTGATTACTGACAACAGTAGGTATAACTCTGGTGGCTAAAAGGCTGCACAGTTAAGCTTAACCACCCGGCACAACTGCTGTAACAGAAAAGAAGAGGTAAGACTATGAAAATGGAGTCTGTAAGGACAATGTCTCTTTGAGTGTATATCCATTTATGTGACTTCAAATGGTTTTAAAAAAAGGCTGAAGATTTGTGTTTACTGTCTGCCATACAGTTGCAGAAGACCTCCCCTCGTAAACAGTTGAGCTTTAAAAGTGAAGATGTTCTGTGGCTTCAGCCCTCCAGTCTGAGAGAACTTCTAAATCTGAAAGCTCAATATCCAGGGGCCAAGCTGGTGGTGGGCAACACTGAAGTGGGTAAGTCACAAACCCATTGGCACATATTTATCCACATTTCCCACACCACTCAGACATTAGGGAGCAGTTATAGTAAAATTAATTTAATGTGCTTCATTCTGGCCATCTGGATTTTTTATAATGTTGCAATTAGATTCCTGATAATGGAAGCCATAAAGGCTAGCAAGCAGTAGATATATGCAAAAAGTTTTTTAAAAAAAGCTTTGAAAAGGGTCAATACTCACCAGTGTCTTCCCCGCACGATCCCGTCCGAAAATGTGAAAATTCTCGTGCGGCCGCAAAGCATCTTGGGGAGGGCGCATGCGCAGTTCACATTTTCGGCCGGGACGCGAGGAGAGACACAAGGTAAGTCTATGGACGCGTGCACCCGCATGCAGATGCCATGGGACAGAAAGTGCTAGCAAGCTCAGAGGAGTCAACGCTGGATCGGAGAGCCGCAGCACCGCTGGAGGGACAGATGAAAAGGACAGGAAAGAAGAAGATCGGATTAAGAAACATCATTTAAGGTAAGTGCTATAATTAACATTGGGGAAGGGAAAAAGATTTTTTACTTTAATGTCACTTTAAGCTGGCCATAGGCTGGTAGATTTTGATATGAACGTTCACATGAAGAATCTCGTCAGAACATTCCATAACGTCATGAAAAACCTGACAAATGTCCTTTGAAATTTTGTTTGATTTTAACAATTGGTAGTGAAAACAAATGGAGCTTCTTGAACAAAAAGTATTTTCACTGTTAGAATTTCCTTGATTTGAGAAAACATTTCCATCCTGCACTTTCCATTTTTTTCCGTCACTACTTTTGAAAGCAATCATCAATTGGACCCCAATAACTATTAGAAAATCAAACAAATTTTCCAAAAATTATTTTTTTTATTCACGCAAAATGCTACTGGTGCCTTGTGACCAATATTGACAGTGTTCTACAGGGAAAATTCTCCCCATTTTGTTTTTCTGGTGACCATTGTCACCAAGATGAAAAGTGGTGGGAAATCCAAAATGTTATTGATTGTCACTGGAACTGGAGGTGAGGACAAATCTTTCAACTGGGGCAAATGTTCCGGTGAAATTCGTCTAGTATGGGAATCCCTATCACTTTGTGTAGATTTTCTTATCTACCGTTTCATCTTCAAGACAGGAAATAAAGGTGAATCTCCCCAGGGGGGCACAGGCAGCAAATAAATACCTGATAGTGGTTTACCCTTACATACTCTTTTTGAAACTAAAAAAGAAGGAAGTTTGGGCTATACATGCACTTTAACGCTAGAGTTTAATCTGCTTATATTTTGCTTTCCCTGGTTCCTTCCCCATCAACATGGCAAATTTTTGAATAAAATCTGTCTGTTTAATAACCCAAGGACTATACCCTTAGATGCTAGCCTGCCACACAATCTAGGGGGTCATCCATCACCACTTAGAGGATGGGTGCTACATTTACGCAAAATACAAACAGTTTGGTTGAAAGGGGCTCTTGGCCTCAAAACTGAATTTTCCTTACCCAGGTTGTATGTTGGGTTGATGCTGTTGTTTTCATTAACATTAAGCTTTTATTCCTGAGCCCTGAAAAACGGGGATTTTTGAAATGCCCTAGCACTTTATATAGGATGTAAAATGAATTTCCTATATCTACCTGCTGGGCACATATGTTTGGGCGCTTTCACATTCTTCCCCTTTCATATTTAGATCATGCTATTCAAATATGGCGTTTATCCAGAAGACCTCTTGAAAGGGCCGTTTGTTTTCATACATCTCCCAAGGGTCTTTGTCTGAAGTCTCCGTAACCTACTTGTGCAGAATTTGTTACACAGTGGCATAAGCAAGCTTTTTTTCCCTTTATTTAAAGCCTTTAGCAATGAATTCATATTTCATAGTAAAATGCCGTTTTGATTTCAACATGAAAATTATTGCATGCAAATCTTAATGACCTTTTGTAACCTCAGCTAATTGCTGGTGTGGGAAAGTGTATATCAAAAATTCTTGCGTAACTTGTTCTCCTCAGGCATTGAGACCAAGTTCAAAAACATGCGGTACCCAGTGATAATCGCCCCGAGCTGGATTCCAGAGTTAAATAGAGTTGAACACACCCAGGATGGTAAGAGACACAATTTATTTTCATTGGAAGTGGGCCTGTTCTTTTAAAACAACATCCTACAACTAGTGATTGGATTATGGAAGTAGAACAAGGTGGTTTCAGAAAAATTCACACCTTCCGTCATGTTCTCAGAAAATCAACATCTTCAGAGATAATTCATGACACCATGGTCATTAGACCATGGTCAAGGGTGACTGAATAGCTCATGTAGCTTTACATTTAATATAATGATGATGGACAATGTGGATGAAGGTCTTAAATATATCTGCCACTGTGGTGACCAAATTCTACGTCCTTCCCAGTGGATGGTCATCTAATTAATGCCTCTGATGATAGGGTAGATCGCTGCACATTCCAATATTTGTGCTTTCTTTCCTAGGCATTTGTTTTGGCGCATCCTGCACCTTGACTGTGATCGGTGAGGTCCTTCAGAAAGGAGTTGCTGAGCTTCCAGCCTACAAAACAGAAGTGTTCCGGGCTGTCCTGGAGCAGTTGAGGTGGTTTGCTGGCCAGCAGATTCGTAATGTTGCTGTAAGGATGTGCACAAAGCTGTGAACACAGATAAACATGTAAAGCTGGGACTAAGCCCCACCCACTCTATGCATTTGGACGGTCTGCTTATAGGTCTGCCTATATAATGTATGGCCAAAGGTTTGTGGGCACCTGACATTCACACCTATGAGCTTGTTGGACATTCCATTCCAAATCCATGATCATTGCGCATTAATATGGAGTCGCCCCTCCACTGTCTCCTTTGTGGCTATAACTGCCTCCACTCTTCCAGGAAGGCTTTCCACAAGAATTTGAGAATGTGGCTTTGGGAATTTTTGCCAAAAGATCATTTGTGAGGTCAGGTACTGATGTTGGATGAGAAGACCTGGCTCACAATTGGCATTCCAGTTCATCCCCAAGGTGTTGTAGGGTTGAGGTCAGGGCTCTGTGTAGGACACTCAGGTTCCTCCACCCCAAACTCATCAAACCATGTCTCTATGGAGCTGATTTTGTACACAGAGGCACAGTGATGCTGGAACAGAAAAGGAGCTTCAGCAAACTGTTACAACACAAAGTTCAAAGCACACAAATAAAATGTTTTTGTATGCTGTGCATGCCCACATTCTTTTGATCATATGGTGTATTGCTGGGTTTGTTGGTTTATAGTTCTTTTCAGTGGATTGAACAAGGCAGTTACCGAAAAGTGGGTGGAACTAATTTAAAGCAACCATTTCCCTCACTGGTCCTCTTTTCTTCCTCTTAATGTTGATCTTTCTCTTTCTACGTCTCTTGCTTAGACAAACACAGATACACAAAGCATCAGAGATTTTGAAGTATAGTAGAACATTCCTAGAGCAAGCCCATCCCTATACCTGAGCTTTATCAGGTGTCGTTAGCTCATGGACATTACTTTTGAATGTTTTTTTTTTTAAGCAAGATACCTCTTGGCCCTCTTCCTGATACATGTTTATGATTTGCACTTTTGTATGTTTCACAGGTTCCTGCACTGTGGACTGTCCTAATTTTCCAATGTGGATTACTTATGTTTTGTTCTCCTTAAAAAAACTTTAAATAACAATGTATTGAAACAGAATGTAAACCTTTCATAACGAAAATATAGGGCTGCCATTCTTGACTTCTTTTTGGAGTTGCTAGTCTTTTGACTCGTTGACTCTCTGGCTTCAATACATTTGCTTCCACCATAAAATCTTGGTATTGTTTCATACAGTATTTGCATTGACGTTGACACTAGATTATATTGTCCCCCTTGGTAATTATAGGCTATTGGAGGCAATATCATGACGGCCAGTCCAATCTCTGACCTGAACCCAGTATTCATGGCAAGCAGCACTAAACTACAACTCATTTCTAAAGGTACAAATCAAGATTCAATCTGTGAACTGGGACAATACTAATCATCATCTGTTGTCTGGACCACTGAGCTGGCAGTTAGATTCTGACTCCTGAATTGGATTGGTAGCTGCATGAAGTCTACAGAGAGGAGGAAAGCATGGGTAGACAGTTCCTGATACTGCCTACCTTGGGGGGAACACTGGTTAATTTTTTTAATACAAATCAACCCTTGTCTTTCATTCTCCACGGCCAGTGCAGGCATGAAATCATTGACCAAACAAGCCCTATAGCATATCTCTATAGTTTAAACTCCTGTATTTGTTCCATTAGGGGTATTTCCCTTTACTTCCTATGCTAGAGACACATTGGGTGAGAGGAAATTTGTTGGACGGTTGTCACATTACAGATATCCCTTTATTTGCCCAGTATTCCTGTTTCCGGGGACGACCCTAAAAATTTGGACCATTCACCACTTTCTGTTCCAGTGACAATGGTCACTGGGACAAATAGAGAGGGTGAATCTATATAGTGAGGTATGTACACCTGGTCTTGTTTCAGGTTTAGGTTCTTGATTTGCTGCGGTGGGATGATGTATGCGCAACTCAGTGTACATCCTCAAGAAGATTACAAACAGGCAGGTCAGGATAATTTATAAGGGAAGAGACATGAGGATCTATTTATACAAAATCTGAATAGCATTTGTCCAGCAAAACTGCAGGTACATTTGTTCTCTATGAATCAACCACCAGTTATGTGAATGTGGCAATAACAAGTGTTCTTAGTGCATTTTGTTCCTCTCCTCTTCCCCTGTCTGTTGGGGTCCCCCAAGGCTCTGTCTTTGGACCCCTTCTCTATCTACACCTCCTCTCTTGGTCAGCTGATCTCCATACATGGCTTCCAGTATCACCTCTATGCTGACGACACTCAAATCTATCTCTCCACTCCGCAACTCACCGCGTCGGTCTCCTTACGCATCACTAACTTACTTACTGACATATCGTCTGGATGTCACAACATTTCCTAAAGCTCAATCTATCAAAAACTGAGCTTATGGTATTCACACACCCCCGCGCACCCTCCCCCAACTTTTCAATCATGATTAATGACACAACGTTGGTCCCCCCCGGTGATTCTATCAAACTTTTCAATCATGATTAATGACACAACCATCCAACCCTCCCCCCATGCCAGGGTGTTGGCTGTCATCCTTGACTCGGACCTCACCTTTCTTCCCCACATCCAATCACTATCCAAATCCTGCCGCCTTCACCTTCGTAACATCTCCAAAATACGCCCCTCACCAATGAAACCACAAAGCTGCTTATCAAGTCCCTTGTTATCTCTTGTCTCGACTACTGTAACGTTCTCCTCATTGGCCTACCTCTACACAGGCTCCTCCTCCTTCAGTCTATCATGAATGCTGCTGCCAGACCTATCCACCAAACCAACCGCTCAGTGTCTGCATCCCTCCTCTGCCAATCCCTGCACTGGCTTCCACTCGCCCAGAGGATAAAATTCAAAATATTAACAACCACTTACAAAGCCATCCACAACTCTGCCCCCAGCTATATCTCCAACCTGGTCTCCAAGTATCACCCTAACCGTCCCCTACGCTCCTCCCAAGACCTCTTGCTCTCTAGCTCCCTTGTCAACTCCTCCCATGCTCGCCTCCAGGACTTCACCAGAGTCGCCCCCATTCTGTGGAACTCATTACCCCAACCTGTTCGCCTATCTCCTACTCTGTCTACCTTTAGGCGTTCCCTTAAGACTCATCTCTTCAGGGAAGCCTATCCCACCTCAACCTAACCACTAAAATATCAATCAAACAGTTCATCCCCACACAGTTACCTCCTCACGTATCTCTTCCCCCTCCCGTTAGATTGTAAGCCCTCAGGGGCAGGGCGCTCCTCACCATATTGTCTTGAATTATATTTTAGTGAATTTGTAGCGCGTTCAATACTCTACAAACGCTCTACAAAACGCTCAAACATGAAAATCCCATTGTTTTCTATGGGTATGGTTCACACCTTGCCGTATTTCAGCCCGTCTGAACGCGCTACAAAACGGCCTACGCCTGAAAAGGTACATGAGCTTCTTTGTGGCGTTTTTGTCTTGCGTTTCCATTGGGATACAGCCAAGTAGCCCTCGGAAACGCACTTTGTTGCACATTTTTTTTTACAGCGAATCACGGTAAAAACGCGCGTCACGAAACGCGCAACAAACGCGCATATTCGATACGCCTAGGTGTGAACAGAGCCTTATATTGTAAAGCGCTGCTCAAACTGTTGGCGCTATATAAATCCTGTATAATAAAAATAATAATAATAATAATAATAATATTTTCTCTTCTGGATAAATGTTCTTCAACCGGAGAGTGAATTGGGAAATACCTTATTATAGCCACTAGATGGAGGTGAGGATCATAGGCCATGAATACCTTAGTTACACGATCTACAGGATTATTCTCCAAAGGGTGAAGAGTTTGGAGAAGGCAGGAGAAGGGAACAATCTAGGACAAAATAGCTGAACTGCAAAGTGAGCTAAATTGGAGAATTTTTCCAAATCAGCTACATTGCCCTAGATTGTTCACTTCTCCTGCCTCCTCCAAACTCTGTCAGTGTTACAATTCAAGAGAATGCTGGAGAGACTGAGCATATACTTGTAACCATTGCTATCCCCATAGTATCAATGGTTACATTGTCATGCTCCTTCCTTCCAGCAGTCTCTAAAATTGTAACATTGTATCTGCTTACTAACATGTATTTATTTCCTATGATTCCTCAACTCCATCTAGTGCTCCTACTGGGGTATTTTCCCCATTTATGAATGGAACTATTGAAGAACATTCGACCAGAATAGAAATGACTCACACAGAACACATGTACCTGCAGCCTTGCTGGACGAATAAGCGAATGGAATTTTTCATGAACAGACCCCTATAGTATGTCTCTTCTGCCTGACTGTTTGCAAATGTTCCTTTTCTGTGTAATGTTCCGCTTTAAATAGTTTGCCTGGTGACCGTTATCTCATTTATCTCAAGTCTGCAGTTGTAAAAAACGTTTTCTGTCACTAAGTGTCAGATGATCAAATGACTTTCATGGTAAGCTTTGCATAACCAATCATGATTGTATAGGATGTAACAAGTTTAGTTCGGGGTATTCCATTCACTATGTCCTATTAACCTAATAAAGAACATTTGACCAGAAGAGAACATTCGGTTTGGCCTCATTCTCACAACAGCAAAATCACTTTTTTTTATAAACAATTCCTGGAGTTCTTTGTTGAAGGTAAAGTCAATTTTGAGGCGGATTTACTAAAAGATTTGAGAATGATTTGTGTGAAGATTCACTTTAATTATCCGATCACGTGAAAAGAAAATATTTCATTTACAGATGATTGGATGATTGAAATGAACATTTATTGTGTGGATTCTGAAATCCTTTAATAAATCTGCCTCATTGTGTCTCAATATGTTCACCTGCCAGCTCATGTCCCTCATATGACAGAAAATTGTGACTCTCTGTACAGTATTTGTCTGGCCCATCTTACATTTCACGACATTGTATTTGCAGACAGTGAAAGGACTGTACAGATGGATGAACATTTCTTTGCCGGATACAGAAAAACAATATTAAAACCTCAGGAGATCCTTCTCTCTGTTGAGATCCCGTACTCAAAGAAGGTAAGTTCTGTGAATTGAAAATCTGCCCCTAACCAGCTCAAGATGTTTTTTTAGCAGAGGTAGGCAACCTCGGCACTCTGGCTATGGTGAAACTACAAATCCCACCATGCCTAGACCTCTGTGGCTGTCACAGTCTTGAAATGCCTCATGGGACATGTAGTTCCACTGCAGTTGGAATTCCAAGGTTGCCCACCCCTGGTTTATAGTTTCTTTGTAGCTTTTAGGCACTTGAAGTTTCTTGTATAGTGCTGAGATTCACGTTTAGGTTGAACTCAAATCTTCAAATCTGACCCGAATTTCGTTCGTATTTTAAATTCCTGATGGTAACCAAACCCTTCTTTGTTGTTTAGTGTGCAGGCAGGTAGCTAAAATAAGTACAGAATCAATATGTGTTATACTTACAAAAGAAACTACGCTTCAATGAACCTAAAGTAGTATTAAACCCTCCAGTATCAAATAATGTTTGCCAGGGAAAAAACATCCAGGGCTCAGCCAGCAGGGAGAAGTGGGGCTTCTCCTCTGGTTCCCTGCTGCTCTTCCCCATCTGTATGCAGCAGGGATCCGAGGAGAAGTAAAGCTCTGCAACCGGCAGGGGGGGCTGGAGGAGGGAGCCGCTGTCACAACAGCATGGCTGAGCGGTGAGGAGAGAGAGAGAGCCGCTCAGCCAGGATCTGACAGCCGGCGGCTCTCAGCTTCAGCGCTTCCTTCACTTCTCCTCGGATCCCCGCTGCCTCTGCAGGAAATCTCTTCAGAGAGGGAAATTCCAGGTGGTCAGCAGTGTCACCCGAACTAGTGTCTCCATTGTAACATTTCATATCTATTCCTGTTCTGGTGACAACCCAAATTTTTCTTTCACTTTTAGTGATAACGATCACCAGGACAAATAGGAGGGGTGAATCACCCTAATGGGGACACAGACAGCTATTAAAAAAATTACAGGTATTCTAACCCTCATCCAAAACAAGAAAAAAAGTTTTGGCTCCAGTTGCAATAAAGTACCGTATTTTGCGGTCCATAAGACGCACCGGACCATAGGACGCAGGGAGGTCCGGCGCGCCTTATGGAGCACTCGAGACTGTAGCTTCTGTGACAGCTTCTATGATAGTCGCTGTCACAGAAGCTGCAGTTAGTGACCGCTGAGACAGGTGGCGCTGTGATTACAGCGCCACGGTCTCAGTGATGACGCAGAGCAGGTGAAGAACGTCTATTCTTCGTCTGCTCTATGGTTATCTCGATCGTCGCCGCTGCTCGGTTTTAATACGAGTGATCTCATTAGATCACTCGTATTAAACGAGCAGTGGCTCCTGCTGCTGAACTCGATCGCCGCCGCCGCTGCTCGGCTTTAATACGAGTGATCTCGTTAGATCACTCGTATTAAACGAGCAGTGGCTCCTACTACTCGCCCGGCGCCCGAAACTGCATGTCTCGGGCGTCGGGATTCGCTCCATAAGACGCAGGCACTTTTTCCCCCTCCTTTTGGGGGGAAAAAAGTGCGTCTTATGGAGCGAAAAATACGGTAATTAGTTTCTTTAAAAGTCACTTGTAAAAGTACCTAATACCATTACAGATCATCCCCCACTCTGTGCATCATGTAACTTCCGACTGCACACAAGCTTTCTACAAGGTGCTAGAAGGGGAACTACATATCCCAGTACTTGTGGGTGCCATAAAAGTGCACATATGCATTGTGGCTTTATTCATTTTTTTGCTGGTCTCTCCTCCCACATTTTCTGTCTAGGTCAAATGTAATAAAATGTAATCCCACATTATGGCCACTAGGTGGAGCTCATGAGCATAGGTAATCAGCGTTTATTTACTATGCTCCCCAGCTCCAACTAGTGGCCATTATGTGGTATTACCTTTTATTACATTCAGCCTGAATAGAAAAAATTCTAAGAAGATTCACCAGCCAGCATCCAAAAAAACTTGTTGCACCGCTAAGGTTAAAAACAGAGGATTAAATATGCATCTTCTGCAGAATATGTGACAGCCGCACCGCCGCGCCAAGGCACCTCAGTCAAGCAAAACAAATGGCAAATGCACTCCTGTCACTGATTTGGTGCAGTGATGCATGGGGGGCCTCAGCTGCCGTTGTGATGTGCAGGGTCCCTTGTGCGTCCCTGTGCCTTTAAGGGAGATTGGGCTTCCTCCTGACAAACCTGCACCCAATTTTATATTTTGCCACATGTGCTCCAAGATGGAGACTCTCATAGTTTAGAGTTAGGACCGCACTATATAGAGGTGCCTTGGCGCGGCTGTGCGCCTTTCACATTTTCTGCAGAAGACGTGTATCTAAACCTCTGTTTTTAACCTTAGCGGTGAGACAAGTTTTTTTGCATGCTGACTGGTGAGTGTGCTGGGACATTTTTTGCTGTTGTACTGTACTAGGCCCTTCCAGGTGCACCTTGCTGTAAAGCTGGTAACAAATTGATGAGTGCGTTTGCCATTTGTTTTGCTTGTTTATAACTAGACCCCTTAGTGTGGCTATGTTCTTTTCATTTTTATACATTGTGGAGAGAATAAAGTAACCCTGAAAAAAGAAAACTAATGCAGCCACCACATCTAAGGACTGGAAAGCACTTTATATTAAATTTTTGTTCTTGGATTTAAATACAATATAAGGTTACAAAGGTGTAGTCCTCGGACTTGAACTTGAAATTAGAGCCAATCACCCACCACTGCCAACGGTGAACTTGTTCTAAGTTTCTCATTGCAATGTTGGTTATTAAAGTCTCACTGACAGCTGATTGCATCGTTTTACAGTGGCAATATTTCTCTGCCTTCAAACAAGCCTCGCGGCGGGAGGACGATATCGCCATTGTGACCACTGGGATGATGGTGGAGTTTAAACAGGACAGCCATCTGGTGGAAAAGATCCAGCTCAGCTATGGAGGGATGGCACCCGTCACCGTCCTGGCAAAAGATACCTGCAAGGAACTAGTTGGGAGGTAACATACTGCTGATCAGATCATGAAGATCAGCTTTTATTAACCTTTATACCCCAGAGGTAAATCATTTTTAGGTCTCAGAGAACCCTGGATAAAAATGATACCTACAGCTAATGATAGGATAACAATATAAATAGGCTATAGATATAATAAAAAATAAAGACTTTGGCATTAATGGTGAATAATTTTCAACACTAACATGCTTTAAAAAAATGATAATTCAAAATTTCAAAAAGTTTTAAAAATATTTAAAACATTTTTTTTATTTATAATCACAAAATAGTTATCAGTTATAATAACAAAAATAAAATAAGAAGTAATAATAATGATGACCAGAAAAGAAACACAGCCAGACTCTTGCATGAGTTGTGCCCCCTTACACTGGTGGTCAATGAGAAGAATGCCACCCCTACAGACAGCTAAAAGATCATTGGTGAGATGCCAGTGACTCTGCCAAGTGATGTTTCCCTGGTGCTATGCAGACACAATCAGATGGGAGCCTGCTTCTTCTCAAGGAACCCTTGGGAACCTCTGGAAGATCCCTTGTTAAGAATGGCTGGTCGAGGTGATGGTGATGGGTGAAGTCCAATTCAGCCCTCAAAAGCCACATATAGGCTGGGATGTGGGGATATACAGAGTTGTTTTTACTTTATGTACCACGCTTCAGTTAAAGCCTACCTGAAGTAAACATTTTTTTTTTTTAATAACATGAAGGAGAGCTAACACTAACGTCAGGTTTTATATCTGAGGGCAACCACATTGAAGAGATTTTCCCATACTTTCTTTCCTTATGACACCTGTAGAAATAGAGGGAACCGTTGTCAGCGTGACTCGAAAACATAGACAGATATAAAATTATTTTAAGTTTTGACTTTTCCTCATTCTACAAAAATTGTGTTTCCGTTTTTTTGCTTGTGTCACTGTTGGAGAGCTTTCCTGTCACTTCCTTTCTTGATTGCCCTTCACTTCTTATCTCCTCACTACAGATACAGATCCCAAGAAAGGCCCTAACCCTTCCCAGCTCTATCCAAAGAGTATTAAAGAGTTTTGCCGGGTTTTGGGCTTTAATCTGCTACTGTCTGTTAGTCTGTTACTGTCTGTTAGGCACATCCCAAAAACATCAGAGCATTTGGCACTTGAGGACTTGAGTAGGACAGCCCTGGTCTGTCTACACACAGGGTTGAGTTGCTATAACTGGTTGGTCAGTTAGAAGTAGCTACAAAATAGCTTTCAACTACTAAACAGAACCATAATTCTGGTTCCTGTGGGTAGCAGTGTCTGTTTTTAGAGTTCAGCAAAAAGCCCTTGTGCGTTCCTGTGCCTTTAACCAGTTGACATCCGCGGTGTTAAACCCCCTTCCCATCCAGGCCATTTTTCAGTATTCAGCACTGCTGTACTTTAACTGACATTTATTCCGTCATGCAGCGCTGTACTGAAATGAATTTTATACCCTTTTTTGGGGACAGATAGAGCTTTCTTTTGGTGGTATTTATTCACCACTGGGGGTTTTATTTTTTTACTATATTAAGGAAAAATTACCGAAATTTAAAAAAAAAAAACAGTTTCCCCTATATTAAATGATAAAACATTTATTATTACCCAATTTTTTGGTAAAATATAAAAGATGGGGTCACGTCGGGTAAAAAGACACTAAACATGTCAAGCCTTAAAATTGCGTGCGCGCGCGAAACCTCAAAAAACGATAATACCCAAAATTGGCCCTAGGCGAAAGAGGTTAAGGGAGGTTGGGCTTCCTCCCGACAGACCTGCTCCCAATTTTATCTTCTGACCCATGTGCTCCAAGATGGAGACTGATAGTTTGAGAGTTAGGACCGCACTATAAGAGGTGCCTTGGCGCGGCTGTGCGGCTTTCACATTTTCTGCAGAAGACGTGTATCCAAACCTCTGTTTTTAACCTTAGTGGTGAGACAAGTTTTTTACATGCAAGCTTGTGAGTGTGCCAGGAAAACTTTTTGCTGTTTTACTGTTTAAAGCCCATTCCATGTGCACCATGCTGTAAAGCTGGTGACGAATTGATGAGTGCGTTTGTCATTTGTTTTGCTTGTTTTTAGAGTTCAGCCCCTGTAAATAGGTATAGAGTACCGTCCAATAGAACTCTTCATCCAATCTCCTTTCTGTCCATGCAGGGAATGGAATGACAGTTTGCTACAAGATGCCTGCCGCTTCCTGTCCAAAGAGATAACACTGTCCCCCAGTGTTCCAGGCGGGATGGTGGAATTCCGACAGACGCTAACCCTCAGCTTTTTCTTCAAGTTTTATCTCACCGTTCTGAAGAAGCTGGAACATGATCTGAACCGGAATGTAAGTGCCAAATTCATGACCATTTTCCAATGGAACTGGAAAACAAATCTCAATGGCACCCATGTATATATATAACTTATACTATATGATAATTCTATTGTTTTATTGCATCTGTATCTATAAAACCCAATGTGGGAATTTTTACATTTATCACCTTGAATTTTTTTACTTGTTCAAATTCTATGGAAAGCCATGCAACACGTCCAAGAAGTTTCAGTTGTTTTGAACAGGATTCTAGGGAGAACCATATACTTATACTATATTATATCAAATTATATTTTGCTTTTGATTTATTCCAAAAAATCGATTGCATGAACATTTATTAGATAACACTTATAGTTTTCATTGAATAAAAGAAGAAAAAAAAACAGAAAACAATTTATGGCATTCATTTAGAGTGTATGTCAAGCCAAAAAAACTTTTTTTCAAATTTTGGAAATTAATTTTCCTGTTGGGTGTTTATTGATATCTGGGTTTCTGCTAGAGAGATTTACAATCACTTCCTGTCCTGGTGACAATGGTATCCCCAGACAGGAAGTGAGGGAAGATCTGCATTAGATCTGCAAGAATGCATACAGAACCCTAAGATAGCCTGGAAAACCTGAAGAGAGGTTCTAACCCTTAAAATTGAGTGCAGAGAGTTAACTAGGAATTTTCAATGTTAACAAGTGGTCACCTGATGTGTTTTCTATATATACTGTGTGCGTATATATGTAGATATGTATAGGTATATACTGTATATATATCTATGTAATCTTTGGGATATGTGCACAGACATCTATCCATTTCTATTACAGAGGTTCTAACTTGTCCCACTCTATCCAAGCTGAAGGTTAGGTTGGACCACTGCATGTAGAGCCAGAACAAGAAAATACTGACTACAAGTGTTTGGAGGAGGTTAAATATTAAGGGCTTATTTTAGAAATTAGGTTTAGTATTGGTGGGAGGAGGTTAAATGTTAAAGCTGAACTCGATAAGCAAATATTATCTAACCACAAGAGCCATGTGTATTGTTCCTGGAATCTTGGTGTGTTTTGTGTATTTCTTCCAGATCTGCGCAGTAATCCAGTGTGAGACTTCGGGCTTCTGGTAATAAAGAACAGTCAGTGCTTCTCTCTCTCCTTGTGCAGGGTGACTGGTCTTATCTCCGCCCCCTCCTGTAATCAAGACCAGTCACTGCTGCTCTCTCTCCTTGTGCAGGGTGACTGATCTTGTCTCCGCCCCCTCCTGTACTTTTCTGCAGGCAGCCTGTAGTGGGTGGGGCCTGATGGATCCCTCCCACAGCTCTGCTCTCTGCACGGGCTATGCACAGCACAGTGGTTATGTCGCCATTACTTTTACAAGGTAAATCTGGGTATGCAAAGGCACACCGAGGGGATTTACTGTATATCCTTTGTGGTAATTGAGGAATATATTTAAATTCCGGAGTTCAGCTTCAGGAGCTTGTATTAGGGGTTAGGTTAGATGTTAGTTATTCAGGTAAAGTTAAGTTTCTTCGACTTAGTGGCAAAACTGACATTTTATTTCTGATATTCTTGATTTAGAACAACATAGACGGGATGGTTCCTCGGAATTATGAAAGTGTAATTGAACTGTTTCACAAACCTGAACCGTCCAGCGTGCAGCTGTATCAGGTAAATTATATCACTGAGTAATTCTTTGTGTGCATTGAGGGTTCAATAAGAGTGAGGAACTAAAAATGTTAAGCTCTCAAGTTCCATCAAGATTGGCTGAGCTACGGACTTATTAGGACTAAGCCACTCCTAAGGGCATATTTTATAAAGCGTCAAATGTGACATTCACCAAGCATTCAATGCACATTACAGTCACTTTAATTTACACTTGCACCTGGAAGATTCACTGGCAGTGAATGTTTGGTGAATGCCACTTTTACTGTTTTCTACATAGACTTTTGACAGTGTTTTTGGTAGGGATGAGTGAAATTGTGAGTTTCAATTTCTCTAAAATTTCAGTGAAATTCCAGAGATTTTGATGAAACGTTGTCATTTTGATGAAATGCATTTGAATCAATGGGCAAAGCAAAATTAAGGTGGTATTTTTAAGGGTGCAGCAAGCTTTAAATGGCTCCTAAGGGTCACAGAAGTTCCTTTCAACTATCCTGGACAGGTTCTTGCACAAAAATATAGACCTTAATGCATATTTGCCAACATTATGTCACGGGACGCTGTTATTCCCGCCTACGGTTTACATTTTATCCGCCCACTTTCAGGGTTTCCTGATTGGTGTACCTAAATCATGCCCTCTTAATGAATTGATCCCTCTCAGACCCAACCTCCTAATATCCAGGGGAAACCCACCATATCCACTTTATGTGTTCCTGCCCAAACCACACCTCTAAGTATGAAAGAACGGCCCACCAATGGCCCTGATGCCCACTGTTATTGCTTTATTGAGCTGCTGAGCCCAGGACACAACATTGGCAGGACAGAAGGCCAAGATATAGGACTGTCCTGGCAAATCCAGGACAGTTGGCATTTATCCTGTTTATCTTCACTATATTACGTTCTTTAACCACTTGCCGTCCGCCCGTAGTAAAAAAACGGACGGACGGCACTGCAGCATCTGCGGGTTGCCGTCTCCAGACGGCCATTTTTTTCTGCTCAAAAAACAGACAGTGAAAAAAGAACAACATTTAAGGCAGCAGTATGCAAATAATAATCAATTGCACTAAAAAATGAAAAACACACAAATACAAAGAATATATGAAATAAAGTAAATCCCCCCCCCGACCAATACTAAAGCACTGAAGCTGAGAGTTTCTGCATTAGTGAGATTTCTTGAATTGTTCATTTGCAGAAGAATCACTCAACTTACACCGTAGTCCCAAGGTCAGTCTGCCTCATCCTAATCAGAAAGGTGGAAAAGTATCAATACACTTGTCTTCTTTGCAGGAGGTTCCAGCAGGGCAGGACCCGGAGGATTTTGTTGGACGCCCAATCATGCACCTCTCAGCAATGAAACAAGCAACTGGAGAAGCTGTCTACTGCGATGACATCCCACATTACGAGAATGAGCTGTACTTGGCCCTGATAACCAGCACTAAGGCTTACGCTAAAATAATGTAAGCAGTGGATTGTGTCAGAGCTGAGAATGTACTTGTCACCTGTCATTTCTGCTTCTAGGGCAGAGGTCCCCAAACTCTTCATCTCATCGGCACCTTCAGGAATAATAATATTATTAATCTGGAGGATGCTGTTAACACTTTTGACTGCCATTATAGTTGTTACAATTCTGAATATTTAGTAAATGCGCAACAATCAGTTCTTAGGCACCACTCCTATCACCACTTCTGGTGGGTGTATTCACAGACGCTCCAACAAAGTTTGAAGTGGGTGTACTCACTCTTCAACAAATTTTCAGGTGGATGTACTCACTGACTCTCCAACAGAGTTTGAGGTAGGTTTACTCACTGGTTCTCCATCAGAGTTTGAGGTATGGGAATACATTCAGTATTACATATGAACAGCACCATATTTTCTTCCCAGAAGGGGGAAGGGTGAACCTAAATGTTTTATTAAAATAAAAAATCATAACAATTATTTATGATAAGGAAACAAAATGTCATTCAGTTGGGCTTTACAGCCTATCTACAAGTTATCTTTTTTCACTGCCTATTTGTCATGCTGCATGGAGAACCAATTAATGGTGATTACAAATTTAGGTATAATTTGATGCCTGCTTTTCTACAGCTCAATTGATGTGTCAGAAGCCCTACTAACACCCGGGTGTGTGTGCTTCCTTTTCACAAAAGATGTTCCAGGAAGTAACATTACCGGGGTCAGAAAAGATGAGACAATATTTTCAGAAGATTTGGTAAGTAAAGAGGTGACCCCCCCCCATCCTAAGTCATGTTCACACATCTTCCCTTTCTGGGACACATTTTTATACCAAAAATGTAAAGAGTCAGACCATCTGAAACCTATTAAAAATAACAAAAATGTTTTAGTTGATGGTAAAGACCATCTATCAGTTTTGGATAACCTGAGCCTAAATTTGAATTTGATTGCCTGTAACTGGTTATATACACTGTGCAGCCTATTACAGGAAAGGGCTAACTATTGCAAAACAATGATTAGTTGGGAATAACTGAAGTTTTCCACTCCACTAGGTGACTTGCGTTGGCCATGTTATTGGTGCAGTAGTCGCTGACACTCGGGAACATGCACAACAAGCAGCAAAAGCTGTGAAGGTGACCTACGAAGAACTGGAACCAATTATTACTATACAGGTATGTTAAATGTGTTCCTTGCATATTAATTTGCCAACTGGAATGAATCCACTCCCCCAGATAATGACCACTCCTACATATGTTATCAAGTTGGGTGACTTCCTTTTCTAGTGTTGTATCTAAACCATGACCCATACTTTTTATCCAGTTATTTATCCTTCAGAGACTATCATTTAATTTCTTGCATACCTAACATCCATTCAACAGCTACAGATTGGCATTTTAGAGTGGAAGTACACAAGGACAATAGGACCATGGTCATTTGGTTATAGTGGAGCTCCAGTGTTTTTGTTTTAGATAGACTGGTGAAAGACTGAAACCTCTTTCAAGTTTTTATTGATACATTGTCTGTCAATGGCAATTAGTACCCGGCGCTATTAATGTGCAAGTGAAAAAAAAGTCCCTACATGTCCTGCTTCCTAACCTTTAGCCCTTAGGTTGCCCTATCACCTACCTCTTACCTGAACCATAAAACATTTTGCTGTCTGCGTCACTCAGCTTAATGGATCTGACCCCCTCTCCACTTCCTGTGAAGCTCCCCAGAAACACTTTTGGGACTGTATTTCATATGCTTTTAACCTTAGCGGTAAGACAAGTTTTTTTTAGGGCTGTGGAAATTAACGAGTAATTACTCGATTAATCGTTAAAATTTTTGATCGATTAAAATTCTTTTGATCAGTAATGACATTTCGAACTTATCGAGTTCTGCGACCGCCTGACTTCCGGTTTCGTTACAACTAAGAGGTTTGCCCAAGAAACTTGTTCTGCACGAGTGCCAGCTAAGGCATTGGCCTATACACATACAGCACAGCAATGAAGTAATAAAATGAACTAGGATCACACTAATCCAGCACGTTATTAATCTCACGTGCCCCACTCAAGCGGCGGCCATATTGAGTGGGGCACGTGAGATTAATAATGTGCTGGATTACTGTGATCCTAGCTCATGTTATTAATTCATTGCTGTGGTGTCTGCTTCCAGAAAATGTAAACGCTCTGGTATGTCTGCGTGACTGGCTAAAGTGATGCCTCCTTGCCTGCTATAAAGTGACTGACAGTCAGTTTACTGGATACGTTTTATAATTAAACTAACTCTCTACGTTTTTCTTAAAGTTTAATAAAAAATTACTTACGTCAGTGCTACAGTTTGAATTTAAAACGTATTTGTGTGAACTGTGAAGTTAAGTCATGGATTGTTGAAACTAACTAGTGTCGGGGTGATTGTATATAGGTTATACCACATTTACCACTGACTAATGCAGAGTTGCAATGCAAGCAGATCAGCTAAAAGTAGTTGGATCTGTATGTGCGTTATAATTAATCGATTAAAAAAAATCTGATTAACCGAACACGAAAATGTTAATCAGTACCAGCCCTAGTTTTTTTGCATGCTGGCTGGTGAGTGTGCTGGGAAACATTTTGCTGTTGTACTGTATAAAGGCCTTTCATGTGCACCTTGCTGTAAAGCTGGTGACAAATTGATGAGTGCGTTTGCCATTTGTTTTGCTTGTATTTCATATGGGACTTTTTCTTTTTGTGAAGCACCGTAGACTTATACAGTATCTTTCTAAAATAGGACCGAAGACCCCGCAAAGAGTAGTGTCTATTGTCTTTGTGTTTGCTTGCTATCAAGTTTTCCAAATGTTAACCCCTTCCGTATTTGACGAGAATGTTTAATCTACCTTTAGAACATTTTCATCTCCCATCTCCATAAAACACTAATTATATATATTTATATCTGAATATTAAAATTAATTTAAAACATGCTGTGTTATAATGGGACCCCAATGGTCCAGATTGTTTATATAAGGCTTTATCAATCCAAAAAAAATTCACATTCATATACATATATACTGAAGGTTTGTGGACACCTGACCATCACACCTATATGAGCTTATTTGACATCCCATTCCAAAATCAAGGGCACTAATATAGAGTTACCCACCCTTCCTTTACAGCTATAACAGCTTCCACTTTCCGATAAGGCATTGCACAACATTTTGGACTGTGTTTGTCGGAATATCTGCCCATTCAGCCAAAAGAGCATTTGTAAGGTCAGGTACTGATGTGGGATGAGAAGATCTGGCTTGCAGTCAGTGTTCCAATTAATTCCAAAGTTTTTCAGAAGGGTTGCGGCAGTGGCGTAACAATCGCCATAGCAAACTAGACGGCCCGGGACACCCCCCTTATGCCGTGCGGGCCGCCTGGGTTGTCATGGCTTTGAACGCGCCACTGTTCAGATCACTGTCAGTAATCTGTGCAGCGCTGCGTTTTTCTCCACAGCCGCTGCTGAGTCAATGAGAGCCAGCAGCGGTGGTGGAGGAGGCTGGACCCGGCAGGGGAGGAGGAGGCGGGGCCCGGGGGTCAGCAACAGAAAAGGAGTCGGGCCTGTGATGGAGCAGGAGGCGGGGCCGGCGACAGAGGAGGGAGCGGGCTCGGTGACAGAGGAAGAAGAGGCGGACAGGTAAGGAGTGTGACCAGCCCACCTGAGGGTGACCCTGCAGAGCCCACCATAGAGGGTCTATGGTGGGCTCTGCAGGGTCACCCTCAGGTGAGCTGTGTGTGATCTCAAGTGGGCTCTTCAAGGGGTGTAACTAGAAATCACAGGGCCCCATACAAAATTTTGCTATGGGGCCCTGTGATTTCTAGTTACGCCCCTGGGTTGCGGTTAGAGCTCTATAGAGACCACTTGAGTTTCTCCACACTAAACTCATTCACCCATGTTTTTTTATGGAGTTGACTACACAGGGTCATAGTGAGGATAGAACAGAAAATGGCCTTCCCTAAACTGTGGTCACAAGGTTGGAAGTGCAAACTTGTCTAGAATTACATGTATTGACATGAAATGAATGATCTAGCATTAACAGTAACCTGAACTCAGTCATTTTGAGCGGTGTTCACCTATATTTAGCCATATAGTGTGTATAGAAGGTTTCCCTAATTTGTGGCTAAATAGTTTATAAAATAAGAAAGCTGAATGCTACTGGTGAAACCATTTGAGAGGCTTCTGACCCTTTTAATGGTTCCTTGATCTATATCCCTGCCAATATATAAAGGTTTTGTGAGTACTTATACATACACACTCAGCAAAATGGACAATGGACAGTATGAGCTTGAAGAACAAGCAGTACGCAGTTTTTGTATTTAACGATCTGTGAATTATTCTGAAAAAAGAATTCAACACTTTCGATGTGTTCTGGGGATTTTCTGCATGTTGAAAGCCAGCACTAAATCTTTTCTTTCTGTCTGCGTCCAGGAAGCTATAGACAAGCAATCCTTTTATCCACCTATCAAGAAAATGGAAAATGGGAATATTGAGAGAGGTTTTCAGGAGGCGGATCACATCTTTGAAGGTGAGACACGTAGTATTTATGTATAGGTATTCATTAGGGTTGAGGTCAGGACTCTGTGCAGGTCACTCAATTTCCTTACACCAACTCATGAAACCATCAGGCTATTCACTAAAGGGTGAAGAGTTAGGAGAAGTGAACAATCTAGGACAAATAGCTGACCTGGAAAGTGAGCCTATTGGAGAATTTTTCCAAATCAGCTATTTGTATCCTAGATTGTTTCCTTTTCCTGCCTTCTCCAAACCCTTCACCCTTTCGTAAATAACCCTGCATGTCTTTAAGGAGCATAACTGCACAGGGGGGCAGTTTTGCTGGATCAGAAAAAGGCCTTCACCAAATAGTTACCACAAGTTGTTTAAAAGGGCTTTGTGTGCTGGAAACACATGAACCTAAAAATGTGGGGGTGCCCACATATGTTTGGTTCCATAGTGGTGGATACTGCAAGTGGCTGTGCCAACACATTGCCCAGCCATGGTCCACTGTTGTCTTTTTCAGGAAGCTGGCCCAGAGCAATGATGTGCAGCAGGTTCTTGAGCCACTGCATGTAAATAGTAAGAGGCTGAAGGAGATCAGCCCCTTTAACTATTTATCATACACAGTGCTTTAGCAAAGTAAATGCCATCCTGTTAGGGATAACAACTACTTAATACAGTATACTATGCTCAGATTGTTTACCATTTTCTTTAGTGCATTTATTATGTGAATACGTTTATATATAATAAATTGCTTTTCAATTGATCTCTTCACAGGGGAGATGCATATTGGAGGACAGGAGCACTTTTACCTGGAAACTAACTGCTGCATTGCGGTACCCAAGGGCGAGGATGGCGAGATGGAGCTTTTTGCCTCCACCCAAAATACGACTGAGACACAGGTACCCATCCTTCATAACACACCTCCCAGCAGGAGAATAAAACTGCTGAACCTTTATGGCCCCAGCTCTGCAATAACTCTTATAATTATTTGCTAATTTTGGAGCTGGCTCTATTCAGTGATATGACAAAAGAAAGTCTGACAAAAGGAAAATGGCTGTAATCTCTACATGGCATTCCATCCCTAACTGTGTCCTATAAACATGGAGCTGCTCTTGTCAAGTCACATGACTATCACATTTTTACCACAGTTCCCTCCAGTTCTTCTGGATTTTGTTCTATGCCCATGCCGGAGAAAGCAACAGGTTCACTTTAATGCCAGCTCCCTTCCTTCCTGCACCTTTCTTTACAGCTATGGATCATGTGTCCTCACCCATGACAGCCCTGGAGCTTGGCAATTGCCCACTCAACCATCAGCACCTTCACAAGGGTACAGGTAGAGAGTCCCCAGCCCTGTGTAAGCTCTGACTGGCATCTCCTCAGCCATGCCTGTCAGGACCTATAATAGCCACAACTCAGTATTGGTTAAAGCTGCAGTCTTAAGAATGAGAATGTCTAATTTCCAGAATCAGCGTCACCAATTTAAACCCTGGCTAGGGAAGTACAGAATGACCTTCTGTAGTAGACCTGTCAACAGAAATGTATTTCGTTCAGTCTGGTGACTTATTTCTACCCTTTGCAGGCATTTGCTGCTCATGCCCTGGGGGTGCCATCTAACAGGATTGTGGTCCGTGTGAAGAGGATGGGAGGAGGATTTGGAGGAAAAGAGTCCAGAAGTGCTTTGCTCTCTACAGTAGTAGCACTGGCTGCCCACAAGTACGTTGTGAATTTTGCTCACATGCAGTTTCAAAAGATCTGACCTTAGGTTATAAGGAGCCCTAAAGAAAAGTAACAGATCTTGCCAGTGCCAAAAAAGTGGCCCTGTGACCATATCAAGATGCTATAAAAGGGTCACTTTGTTTTTCAACTCCTCAATGGGCTTCTAAATTCATAGTTTCCCTTTTGTTGCTGCCTTAACAGGTGTGGACTTTACCCATCTATATATAAATATAAAATACACAATTCAAACTAAAAATAAATATGGACTTCTACATTTAATTTCCATTAGTTCTACGCTGCTCCTAATCAAAGCCGTAGGTAGCTCCTTTTACGCCCGAGGCAAGAACAGAAAATTGTGCTCCCCAACAGACCCGTGGGGTATGTGATGTCATGCGCCCTGTCTCCAGGATGGCGGCACACATGCGCAGAACGCGCTGGTGGCCAAATCCAAAATAGCATAAAAATGTGTTTAGTTTGAGGAAACTAATGAAAACATTTTTAGTTTCTGTTCATTTCGCCCGAAACAAATTTTTAGCCTTTGCACATGTCTAGTAGTGTGTGTGTGTGTGTGTGTGTGTGTGTGTGTGTGTGTGTTTTGGTTTTTTATTTTTAATTTCTTTCCACTGTAGGGGGGCTTCTGGGAAATATCAGGGGTTTAAACAGACCCCTGACATTTCCCTTTTTGAAATAGAAAAAGAGATTGAGATTGAGTCCTCTGCCCATACAGGTGGGGGAGAGTAGCAGGGATCTGAGGAGAAGCTGGAGCCTGTCCTGTTCTCCCTGCTAAGCCGCAGCTGTATTGGCCACCTGGCGCCCTTGTTGCCAAAGGCACCCTGTGCTCGCCATAGCAACAGGGGCTAGGGGGCGCAGCCAGGCCGGCTTTGGCCGCGCCCCCTCTCAGCTGAGCCTGAGGCGAGTGCCTCACTCGCCCCATAGTAGCTACACCCCTGCTCCTAATAACCATATCCATCTAGAAGTTTGTAAACTTACTTATCAAAGGTGCCCATAGGATGTACTTCCTCAATGCATTGACACAATTTCACTTAGTCCTGTGAACATGCACTTCCTGGTGTCACCACTCTAAGTCCCCGCTCATACTGAGCAGTTTGTCGCAATATCGCTCTATGTAGTTAGTCCAATGCATTTCAATGGAGCTGTCACACATCTAACAGCTCAATGTTACCTGTAGCTCGTCGCTGTAGCTTGTTGCTTGTACATGACCCTTTTTTGCGCGGATGTCGCACGATTTTGCTCTTAATTGCTTACAGCCCAATGTTCCAGCTACGAAAAGTCGTGCGACGTAGCACGACAAGTCGCGCAATATCGCGCCTGTGACAATCGCGTGGAAAAACGCGCGCTTATCCATGTCTCTCAGTGTGAATAGGGACTAAGTCTGCTGTCTGAACTTCTCACAATGTAACATTATCATTACTTGCTGGAAGCAGTGCATGATGGGATATGTAGTCTTCAGAAATTGAGATTGCATCACATCAAACAGCAGGGAAAGAGATACAAAGCACACTGGGAATCCAGAAAGTTGTTGGAAGTGATGGGCAGACAGAACTCAGCACTCACTACATAAAAGGGATTTTTTCAAGTAAGCTTTGATTGTATTATCAGAAACAACTCTACTATGTATTCCTATTACAATGCTGATGTTATCACAGGAGAGGATATGCTGGGACTATAGAGCTCATTTAACTTGATGTAGGAGCAACATTGTTTTAATTATTAATGTTATTTGAGCATTATTTATGTTTTAGAATTTTAACAACATATCTGACTATTTATAAATGAGTTAATGTGTGATATATCTGTTACTAGTTCAATGTATTGGTTATAAGGGCTTGATGTGTTTTAGGTTTATGCTGCTATGTTCCTGTTAGATTTTGAATATAGACTTTGGTGCAGCAGCATGTCTCCTGTGCCCAGACTGTCTTAAAGCACAGAAATATTGTAATAGAATACTCCAGTCAGGGAGTGGAGGGAAAGAGAGTTAGTACTTAATACATTAGCTGATTTAAAAGGCCTATGAATGTTAGTAGTTCTAGAGTTCTGTGCCAATGAATTAAACAAATCTCTCCATTCGGTGTAGGACTGGTCGGCCCGTTCGGTGCATGCTGGATAGAGATGAGGATATGCTTATCACCGGAGGGAGACATCCGTATTTGGGACGCTACAAGGTATTCCTGTATTTTACAGCCTGGCTTAATGTAAATAATCACAAATAACCCAATTAACCTTCCAGCATGTCTTTGGAGTGTGGGAGAAAACTGGAGTACCCAGAGGAACTTCTGTCCAGGAATGTAAGATTACATTCCGAGGAATGTCTAATCATCGCTGCCCATGGTTCAGTAGCTATTGCTAATAATAATAATGGGAAAACCCATTTAATAAATCTGGGTCCGAAATTGAATTTTTCTATAATTGCCCACAAACAAGACAATTGGATAAGAGGCATATATAGTGTTGCTCTAGTTCCCATATTATCTAGAGGTTTTTGTATATTTAGAAAGATGCATCAAAGTAGCCGTTGATTTATTATGCATAAAGCCTGTCGGGTCAGGTTTGGTATTTGTATACACTGCCTGGCCAAAAAAAAAAGTCAACACATGTATTTTGGACAGTGTTATGATTCGGGGGTTGCTTCCTTTGGTCAGGTCTAGGTTCAGCAATGTTATGTCCCCCAAAAATGAGGTCAGCTGCCTACCTGAATATACTGAATGACCAGGTTTTTCCATCAATGGATTTTTTTCTTTCCTGATGGCACATTGGGCATATTCCAAGATGACAATGCCAGGATTCATCGGGCTCAGATTGTGAAATTGAATTGGCCACAACAGAGTCCAGACCTTAACCCCATTGAGAATCTTTGGCATGTGCTGGAGAAGACTTTACGCAGTGGCCAATTAATTAAAATGAATGCAACTCTGCAATAAATGTTGCACATTGCATAAGGTTATCAAAATGATGCCACGGCGAATATGTACCTTAATCAAAGCTAAAGGTGGTCCAATCAAACATTAGATTGCGTGACGTTTCTTTGGCCAGGCAGTGTATATTACCACAGCTAGAAGATTTGCTAACATTTTAGCAAATAATTTAACACCTATTATAAACAGGGCGGTACAAATCTGGAAGCCTTACATTCTTACTTACCGTATTTTTCCGTCTATGAGCCGCCCCTATGTATAAGACGCCCCCAACTTTTCTTACCCAAAATTCCGAAATCAATATTTTAAATGGTATAATGCATCACACTTACCTCAATCACGTTATGCTCCGACATTACAGCTCCGGGCACTGGCTACACGCTCTCCCGAGTGTCGGCTGACATCAGGTACAAAAGATTTATGATCGGATTACAGAGACAAGATAACAGTTTTCCTCCAATCATAAATCTTTTGTACCTGACGTCAGCTGTTGCTGGGGAGGGCGGATTACAGAGCCACTCTCCCCAGCAACAGCTGACGTCAGGTACAAAAGATTTATGATTGGAGGAAAACTTATCTTGTCTCTGCAATCACGGGACCGGCAACAGCACGCCGCCTTCCGGGACCTCGTCCGGTCCTCCCCCAGCCAGGTAAGACATCCCCCGAAAATAAGACCTAGTGTCTTTTTTCGTGCAAAAAAAAAAATAAGACACTGTCTTATTTTCGGGGAAACACAGTACTTAGAGGCTGGTGATAAACTGAACTCCAACATTGCATTAATAGTATATAATAGTGATAGCAACAAGCATTTTTAAAAGGAGGTCAGCGATGTCTCTTATGACAGGGTCTTTTTAAAATTTGGAGCTGATTTACGGACATGAACGACACTTTGTTTCATCTCACAATTGCAGGTTGGATTCATGAAAAGTGGACAAGTAACCGCCTTAGACATTTCCTACTATGCAAATGCCGGAAACTCTCTGGACCTATCGCATGCAGTAAGCAACATCACATGATTTATGTGTAATGCCTTCTGAATTAAAAATGACAAATATCCCCTAAAGCAAAACAAACATTAGAAATATTGAGACCACCATGTATTGCAAATGGATGGGTTTAGGTGGAAGTGTATTAGAAATCATAATGTGTTGGGTCACGTAAAAATTCCGATATGTTCTGATTTGGTTGCAATTATATATATAGCCATATTTGCTCATTAACTAGAAAAGCTGTTTCCTGTCCCGTCAGAACAGGAAAAACATTGTCAGGTCAAAGGTTAAAAGCCAGTTCCTCTGACATCCTTCTAATAATTTTTCCCACCTTTTCTTCAAATCCTTCTAATCTTGCTGAAGAGAATTTTCATCATCTGGATATTAGGTGTTGTTTATTGGCTTATATTGAAGCTACCAGACCCTTTAGAAAATCAAATTACTTATTTGTCCTCTTTTCTGGTAAGGACCAAGGTAAGAGAGCCTCTAAAGCCTCCATTACCCAACTGGATGAAGTTGGCTATTCTGGAATCACACAAAGTAATGCAGTTGAATCCTCCAGATTTTGTCAATGTCCATCCAACTAGGGCTTTGGCTTCTTTCAGAGCAGATTTGCAAGGCCGCTTGATGGTCAAGCTTTTTCTACCTTTGTCTGTCACTATCGGCTGGACTTTCTCTCTAATAAGGATCAGGCTTTTGAGAGAAAGGTCTTACAAGC